TGTATATGCATCATGGAATATATTATTCAGTCACAAAGATAGATGAAATTCTGATACATGCTCCAACATGGTTGAACCTTGAAATCATTATGCTGAGTAAAATAAACCAGACACAAAGCTACAAATGTTATATGATCTTACTTATGTGGAACCTCTAGAATAAGCAAATACATAGAAACAAAAGGTTCTGTTGGAGGTGATGTAGAATTTTTGGAAATGGATAGTGGTGATGATTGCACAACATGGTGGATGTAATTACAAAAACAAAAAAACTAAAAGCATTGTCGTTGAGTCAATTCTAGCTCCTAGTGACCCTATAGGCAGAGTAGAACTGCCCATGAGGTTTCTAAGGCTTTAATCTTTACAGAAGCATATTGCCGCATCTTTCTCCCATGTTTGAACTGCTGAACTCTTGGTTAGCAGCTGAGCACTTAACCACTGCACCTTCACAGCTGCTATGAATGCAGTTAATGTACACTTAAAAATTATTAAAATGGAAGATTTTTTGGTTTATGTATTTTGCGTAATTAAATTAATTGCATAATACAATTAAAAAGCAGGAGACAGGCAAGCAAAACTAAGGCCAGGCAGGCTTTCTTTTTTTTTTAATTGTGATTTGGGTGAAGATTTACAGAGCAAATTCACTTTCCATACAGCAGTTCACATACACTGTCTCATGACATTGACCACAATTTACCACAATCAACAGTTCCCCTCCCACCCACTTCCTCCCGATAATTACCTCTTCCCTGTGTTCATCCTCCATGCCCTCCTGCCCCCTGAGCTATTTCCCAGTGCATAAGCAGCCCTTCTTTCTCCCATGATTGTTCTCTCCAAGGAGTGTATCTACCTCAGGTAAATGTTCAACTCATATGCCTGTCTTTTGCTTGGCTGGAAGCCACAGGTGCGGGTTCAATTCCAGACCTGAAGGGCAGCTGGGGGCCATAATCTCAGTGATTCTACCATGCTCTATCGGACCAGCAAACCTGGTCCCCCCCCCCTTTTTTTTCTCCAAATGATTTTGAGTTTTGTTCCACATTGTTCTCCCTCTCTATCCAGGATCTCTTACATAGATCCCCTTCCAAGTGGTTAACAGTGGTAGCCAGGCACCATCTAGTTCTTCTGGTCTCATAGTCATATAGGCTGCAGATTGGATGGTGTACCAGTCGCTAGGCTGATTGTATCCATGAAGTTTTGGTTTTCTTCATTCTAATTTGCTCTCAACGGGGAGAGATCCATCGTTGCATCTAGATGGCAGCTTGCTAGCTTTTAAGATCCCAGTTGCTACTTGCCAAAGTAGGAGGTGGAACAATGTTTTGTGTAGTATGTTATGCCAATTGAGCTTGATGTCCCCTGTGACTATGGTCCCAAGCCCACAGGTTCAACTACTTGGTCCCTCTGGGTAGCTGGCTGTGACCAAGCAGTGACTACCACCTTGCCTCTTGTCAGCTCTGCTATATACCTGGGAATTCAGATCATGCACATAAACTTATAGGACCATTGTCTGCCAACCCTATACATGTTCTTTGGTACACTCCCCACTTCATAGACGTACCTACTACTTCAGCCTGTCTACCCATCTGTCCTCCCGTACACCCATGTTTCAGGCAGGCTTTCTTAAAATCCCAACAGCATCACTCATTTTCATAAGGAGATATTTGAACAGATGTTACCAAGCAAGTAACTTACAGGAAGTTACCCATGTGTAACCCAGGACTGCCTGCAGATCTTGTATATCTGCTGTTGCATTAGACCCTTGGAAGATGGGACAGCATAGGAAGCATTTGACATAAAGTCACACTGATGTAAGAGATTACCCCTGTGGTCTGTGCTGTCCTTGACTATTTTTTATTTTAAAATGAAAGGACTTGGGTTTAAAGGGATTAGAGAGTCAGAAGGGACCTTGAAATATTTTTTACTCCTCTAACTCACATTCAGGTCACTCCTGGCTGGTGATACTTTCTGATGATCTTTCTGATACTTTCACGATGATCTACTTCAAGAGTTCTTGCTAAGAAGTCCTTTCTTTATGTCTGTGTGCATAAAGGCACCTAATGAGCAGAGGAGACACTCAGGGTCTTGTCCATACACCCACTTTTCTCCTGACAACATCCTCATCACTTCCTTTCTTCCCACAAGTATAAAGGCCACCCTCCTTTTAGGGGAAGGTGGCTCTCTATTATGTCTCAGAGACAAGGGAAGTCCACCTCGATGTCTTCCTACTTTCCTAACATCTGTATGTAGAGTAGGGAGAATGGTGGCCCAGGACCCAGTTTTTTTTTTTTTTTTTTT